AGGCAGTCTGGCTGCAGTCGCCTTGCTGAGCTGTGGCGGGCTCTGCCCACTTCAAACTTCCTGGCGGCTTTGTTTATCCTGTGAGGGTAAAATCACTTACTCAAGCCTCGGCAATTGCTGACGCCCTTCCCCCCACCAAGCTCAAGCATCCCAGGTCAACCTCAGACTGCTGTGCTTGCAGTGAGAATTTCAAGCCAGTGGATTTTAGCTTACTGGTCTCCATGGGGGTGAGACCTACTAAGCCAGAGCACTGGGCTCCCTGTCTTCAACCTCCTTTCCAGAACCGACAGAACGGTTCTCTCACTGGCATTCCAGGTGCCACTGGGGTATGAAAAATAAAATCCTGCTGTTAGTTTGATGTCTGCCCAAACAGCTGCCCAGTTTTGTGCTTGAAACCCAGGGCCCTGGTGGCATAGGCATCGGAGGGAATCTCCTGGTCTGCTGGTTATGAAGGCCATGGGAAAAGCGCAGTATCTAAGCTGGAGTGCACTGTTCCTCACGGCACAGTCCCTTATGGCTTCCCTTGGCTATGGGAGGGAAATCCTCCAACCCCTTGTACCATCCGGGTGAGGTGACACCCCACCCTGCTTTGGCTCAACACTCCATGGGCTGCACCCACTGTCCAACCAGTCCCAATGAGATGAACTGGGTACTTCAGTTGGAAATGCAGAAATCACCCACCTTCTGCATTGATCTTGCTGGGAGCTGCAGACTGGAGCTGTTCCTATTCGGCCATCTTGTCAGCAAATCCCCAATTTTTGTATTTTTAATGGAGATCGGGTTCCACTGTGTTGGCCAGACTGGTCTAGAACTCCTGACCTCAGGTGATCCACCAGCCTTGGTCTCCCAAAATGCTGGAATTACAGGTGTGAGTACATGGGGTCAGGGACCCACTTGAGGCCATGCCCAGCCTCTCTCTCTGATTCTCAGTTCTACACAGGGAGCGTATCTCAGTCTTTCAGGCTCTCAGCTTAACGTCTGTGGGCAGAGCACAGTCATGTATTTAAATCCCACAGAATCTGACCCCCATATGTTGTATTTATGTCTCTCTTCCACGGCTCTTACTATTGTGTGAATGTAGAAAAACATGGGCTCTTTCTGATTTTGTGTTCTCGTACATCTCAGTGATTTTGCCTTTGAAACTTGCTTTTGAAATACACACCCCGGGGGTCTGAAGTTTCATCTAGTTTTTTTCTTCTCTGGCAACCAACCTTTATGTGATGGAGAGCTTCTGGTGGACTCTCCCACGGAGCAGGTTTACTTGATGACGGAAAATTCTTGAAAGACAACACTTTAATTAATACATCACTCTGTTATCCTGCTACATGCAAAAGTGCCCCATGAAGGCATTGAGTCAAGTTGTCAGGATGACCTATGACACTGAGAGTGGAAGTGTCACAAGAGCCAAATGATAAGTGTTTGCCACTGGTTATTGAGGACTTTCCAAAACATGGTTCTCAAGGATATTGTGACAGTGTTGACCAAATATACCAATGGTCATCTATTTTGAGCCAACAATAAATGTGGTAGGAATGTATCCTAGGGAGAACGTTGCACAAATTCACCACCTCATTCCATGAGGCTGTTGACTAAACTCTTGTTCATGACACATTGCCCATCCTGTGTTGTGTGCCATTCATTCTTCTTCAAAAATGCAATTGTGAAGCATCTCAAGGGAGCTGATGAAATTGAACGATGCCTGCCTTCTTCTTTTTTGTTGCTGTTGACAGAGTTTCACTCTAGTTGCCCAGGCTGGAGTGCAATGGTGTGATCTCAGCTCACCGCAACCTTTGCCTCCTGGGTTCAAGTGATTCTCCTGCCTCAGTCCCCTGAGTAGCTGAGATTACAGGCATGTGCCACCACACCCGGCTAATTTTGTATTTTTAGTAGAAATGGGGGTTCTCCATGTTGGTCAGGCTGGTTTTGAGCTCCTGATTTCAGGTAATCTGCCCACCCCGGCCTCCCAAAGTATTGGGATTACAGGCGTGAGCCACTGCACCTGGCCAATGTGTACTTTCTTTATGTCTACTGGAACTTGTCCTGTTTAAGCCAGTGCTACTTTCATTTAGTACATTTCTGTATATTGTAAATGAACTTGTTTTCTTTAATAAGCAGTCCATATTTTTTATGACTTTAGTTGTTTTATGTTTACAATATACAGAGCTTTGTATTGGGAAATGCATTTTTAAACATATTTTACAAGCTTTCTTTCTTTAATTTGAGGACTGAGTCAATAGCAGTTTCCCTAAAAACTACATAAACTTGAGAATATATTGAAAATATTGTCTAAAATGTTTTTTATTTTTGTTTCACCTGACTCAATGCCTGTTATTAAAGTGCCACTAAAATTTGTTACAGCCTCTAAATTGGCGGATTTTCCATATCTTAAGAATACACTTCTTTTTCTTTTTCCTTTAAAATTTATTTGTTGAGAATATACTTTTTAAAATTAATTCAATGTCATAATTTCAGAAATACCATTAAATTGACTTGACACAATTTGTTATAGAAAATAACATTGCTTTTTCTATAGTGTGTGTGTGTGTGTGTGTGTGTGTGTGTGTGTACGTATATATTTGAGACAGAGTCTCACTCTGTCACCAGGCTTGAGTACAGTGGTGCGATTATAGTATATTTTTAATTGTCTAATCTAACTTGGTGGGTTTGGGTTAAATCTCACTGAATTTTTATATCCTCCAGCTGTTGCCGGGCGCGGTGGCTCAAGCCTGTAATCCCAGCACTTTGGGAGGCCGAGGCGGGTGGATCACGAGGTCAAGAGATCGAGACCATCCTGGTCAACACGGTGAAACCCCGTCT